CCGACGAGGAGCAACCCGTCCCGTACCCGGCGCTGGCGGCCACGGTCTTTTTCTGCCTCGGGCAGACCACGCGGCCGCGCAGCTGGTGCCTCTGGCTGGTGTGCAGCCCATATCCTTCCCGGGCCGCGGGGCGTGGGGCTCTCTCGGTGTGCGCCCCCGCGCGCGCCTGTTTGTTGGACCTGGCCGGTCGGGCGGGGGCGCGATAGCCATGTTCCGAGAGGGGGCCCTGGTCCGGGTGTGGAGGGCAGTGGGGGTGCTTCCTCCGACGCCCGGGTCCAGAGTCGCCTCTGGACTGGAGAAGGTGGAAGGGAGGCGGCGAGGCCCCACAGGCTTGAAGGGGAGGGGAGGCCATATGCAACTCCTTAGCCCCGAGGGGCGAGGCCAGGCGGAATCCCACTCCCTCGCCCCCGCCCTCGCCCCAGCTTACTGAACGTCTGGCCTGAGCAGGACCCTCACCGGGAGGACGAGGCCGGAAGGAGCTAGAGTGAGGGGCAGGAAGTTTTCAGCCTGCGCCGCACGGTGCCTCTGAGCTCTGGGAAACCCGTGGGGTCTGTGAGCGGTACCAGGGTTCGCTGGGCCCTTTCCACGGAGAGAGGCCGTGACGTTGGTTGTGAACTCGCTTTCTCAGGCTGAACTCGGCGCTGGGGTTGATTTAAGTCATGCGCAGCTAGGGGTTGGGGGGCAGGGAGGCAGCTGTCAATGCTCAGGGAGTGCCTTCTCCCCAAGCCCTTCCCTGACCCCAGTGGAAGGGGGCAGCCCTTTCTGCTCTTGGCAGGAACGACCCAGACTTCCAGAGAAGGTTCCAGAAGAGTTGGGTCAGGGCCAGGGGCATTTCTGGGATGCAGACAGAAGGCTGGTGGCCCCCCCAGCAGGTGGCCTGAGAAGGATCTTGCCCTGTGCCTGTGTGCAGGCTGGGTCTCCCGAGGGCCCAAGTGGCTGGGCTGGGGGTGCTGCTGTGTGTGACTGGATCTCCGGCGGGCCAAGCGGCTGGGCTGGGTGCTTCTCCCACTGTCTCTCCTCCTGGCTTGGGGATAGTGGTGTGTGACTTGGGAAGGGGCTGATACTGTGTTGTAAATGTCCCCTGTTGGAGGTAAGGAGACAGGCAACTGGAGATGTTGTATACATTTCCCTACCTTGTATGTTTAACTTTATAAATATTAAATACAAAAGAGGAATCTGTACCAAAAAAAGTGATAAAACCCATGTTTCTCTTTCCTCAAATCCAAACATCAAGTGAGTCAGATTCATCTCTGCTTGTAGAGGAGGCTGCCATGGCCAGGGAGTGGGTTGTGGCCGTGGCCGTGGCCGTGGCCTGCCTCTGAGTGCAGCAACAGGCTGTGGTGGTGGCCTTTGTTCTCTGCAGCCAAGAGTGGTGTGTCTGCAGGTGGGTGGGTACCCCAGGTGCCAGGGGCTTGGCCCCTGGCCTCAGAGTGGTGCTGGCCTCACAGGGTGGCTGTCTGCCTTCAGAATCCAGACTAGGGGTCCTCCGGGTGCTTTGTTTTGGCAGGAAGGCACTAAATGTGGGGGCGACGTGTGGTGCAGGCGGGTCCTGGGGTTGGGGCAGGAGGGGCGGGACAGAGACTGGCCTTGTGCCGAGGCCTGGTGTTCCTCGTTTCCAGGCTTGTGTAGACTAGAGAGGGGAAGGAGCTGGCTGGGCCTGGACTTTCTCTCTGCTGACAGCCCAAGTCTGGCTGCTCTGTCCCCTCTCGGCTGAGTGTTTTTGAGCATGACCCTGGCGTTCTGGGTTGGCTGGGTCCCTGAGGACTTCTGAAGAGGTGGTTTCTGTTACTTGTGCAGGGCAGGTGAGGGCTGGGTGGCCTCACACAGGTGGGGTGAGGGGCACAGGGCCAACCATGTCACATGACCCAGGCCCTGTCCCTGGGCTCCTTTGTGACTTGAGGAGGAGGATGTCCTTGTTGTCCCAGAGGGACTCAGGTGTTGCTGGCCCTGGACGAGAGGTTCCTGCAGGTGGGAGCCCCCAATGTGTGTTCCCTGGGTCCCCAGCAGAACAGGAGGGCTTGCCACTTTCTGGCCTCAGATCGTGTCCCTGGTGGGGGTGCCAGGTGTCCCCAGAAGCCTGGTCTCCACCTGCTCTGCCGATGGTACTTTGAGGTGCTCTTGACTCTCCCACCCCAAAATCAGTGCTTTGGGGTCCCCCAACCCCCTCTGCGTGACTTGGGGAGGCTTTCTAAGAGGAGCTCAGGTCCTGGGATTGTTTTACCCTTGTCCCCATAGCAGCCTGGCATCTGTGAAGAGGGGCTGGTGCTGACTGCCAGGCCGGCATGGGGCGTGCGCCCGAGCCTGGGAGCCTAAAATAAGCTGGCAGGCCTGGACAGGGGATCGGCTTTCTCGGGGAAGCCCTGGGGGCCTGCTCAGGCCCTCCAGAGTCTCAGGATTCCTGGGAGCTGGGAGGGATGGGTGTGGCTGGGGCTTCTCTGGGGATAGTGGGGCGTCTGGTAGCCTGAGGGTGCTTCCCAGGCCCTGGCATTCCTGGCAGGTGGTTGCGGCATCGGCAGTCCCTTTTTCCTTCCCAAAGAGGGTAAACTTGAGAGGGAGGGATAATCAGATTTGCCCTGGGAGGCCACGCTGGGCCGAGTGCCTCCCTGCTCCTGACTGGCGCACTCCCAGCTGTCTGCCGAGCCCCGCCTGGACTGGGATTCGATTGGCCATTGGAACACAGGAAAGGACCTTCTTTAATCCCTGGATCTTTCTGGAACCCCGCCGTAGTAGACGCCCGGCGCAAATGAACACACGTGTCCTGGTTGTGCCTTGAGGGTGACTCGCATCCTGGGGAAGGAGCCTCCAGGGACGGCCGTATTCTTATTGATTTACTTTGCTTTTTAAAAATATAATTGTCTTAGAACTTTTGGGGCGAGTGCTATTTCTCCTACACAGGTTTATTTATAGCAGAAGGTGGGTGGGATCTGTGTGTTGCAGCCCGCTCGGCTGGGTTATGTTCTGCCCAGGCTCCCCCGGGGTTCCTGACTCTACGGGTTGCCTGTGACACAGCTGCGCCGTCCCAGCTCTGGGCGGGGCGGCGGCCAGGAATGCTCCAGGCTGGGAAGGGGTACCCCACCCTGGTCCCCTTGAGGGCGAGGAAAGCACTCTGTAGGTGTGTGGGGACCAGAAGGTGACCCTGGGGGTGCTAGGGGACTTGAAGGTGGCAGGACAGTCTGGGAGGCGTCTCCCGGGCTGGCACCGACCACCCCATGTCACTGGGCTCTGAGCAGGCAGATGATGTGCCAAGGTCAACCGGCTGCTGAAGAGCAGAGCTGGGTTGCACCCAGCCTGGCTAAAAAGTCCACATGTTTGGCACGGCCCTGCTGAGTTCTTCATGGCATCTTTAGAGCCCACTGCTCTTGGGCTGTCGTGCTGCTCCGTGGCAGCCCCAGCCAGGCGCAAAGGTCACTGATCTAGAAAAGGTCAGTCCCTACCCTGGCCTTCTTGGCTGGAGCCCGGGCACACCTGCCTCCCTGGGCTCCATGGCCCCAACCTGTCCCTCACAGGCCCGACTGGCTCCTCACCTCACTGGCTGGTGTCCCGGGACCTCTTGAGCAATTTGCCATGGCTTGTCTGCTGCGGCAGTTTTGGGAGCCTGGACTGGTCTGAGATGGGGCTACTGTGTCAGGGGAGGTCGCAGGTCCTGTAACCCTGGGCCTGAGCTGTGAGCCGGGGTCACTGGGAAGCTGGGGCTTGGCAGAGGCTCCATCATAGGCTGGAAATCTGTCCTTGGCAGGCTGAACTATGGGACGGGACACTGAGGAGGCTTCTTTTGGCTGTGTGGGCTGGGTGTGTCTTCTGGGCCCGGGGCTGTCCATCTTTGCCGGCTGGATCAGCCTTTCCTCGGGTCTACAGCTCATGCACTTGTCTGATTCCTGGCAGGAAGGAGAGGCAAGTGATGGGGCAAGAGTCCACTCATCCCTGAAGCCACCCCTGGCGTCTCAGTGTTCCCAGGGCCACTTGCCGGGCCAGGGGGTTGGTGCCTGCTGAGTGACTCCTGCATGCTGTGGTGGTGGTGGGAGGGGGGCGTCATGTGTTCCCTGCTTCTGGGATGCCTCTTGGGTCATAGAACAAGGATGGGAAGGCAGGTGTGGGGTGGAGGCAGGTATGTCACAGGAGTCTGGTAGCATGAGGCATATCCACCGAGAGTGGAGGGCCAGCTGGGGAGGGGGTGGAGGGGCAGCTCCCCCCAGAGTGATGGGAAGAGGCCCCAGGGAGTCACTTCTGGGGCAGGGCCCATGGAGTGTGGTCGGCCAGTTGTCCTGCCCCTTCAGGGAGGCGGTGGGGCCCCATACCTGGTGTGACATCATCTCGTCCCTGCCTGGAAATGGGTGAGATGCCAGCAAAGTCCACTGTGCCCTGCGGGGGCTGTCTGGTGGACAGGGCTTTGGGTCCCATGAGGAGGGATGGAGGGAGGAGATGGAGCCCAGTGTAGGCTTCCCTGGAGCTGGCAGGGGCGTGACCTTGCATTTTTGGAGGGTATGCCAAGAGTCCCAGTGACCAGCTGTGTGAGGACTTGTGGGTGCAGCCGTACCTGCCCTGAGGGTCCCTGGTCCTGGCCCAGGCCCTGCTCGGCCCACACGCCCTGGGCCACATGCAAGGGTCCTGGGTCACTGTCTGTGTTGGCTCTCCCGTTCCAGATCGCTTTTGACTCTGATAGAGGTCAGGTCCCGCCTGCATGTCTGGGGCACTTTGAGGTGAAGGGAGCCACCGTGGGTGGGGGTGCTGGGGGCTCTGACGCTTGGCCTTGGCTGCTCCATTCACGAATGCCTCCTGGCCAGGCCCTCGCTGAGAGCCCGTCACATTGGGTGTCCGCATCTTGTGGTAGTGTGGCCCAGCCCAGCCCCTCCGCAGGAGGGCATGAGTCGGAGGGAAGCCTTCGGGGCCTGGGCAGACCCATACATTCAGTGAGCCCAAGCCAGCGGGTGAGACCTTGGAAATAGGAGCGTCCAGGCAGCAAGAAGGGCACGTGGACAGGCCCTGGGAGGGGGAGTGTCCCTACAGCTGGTGAGATGTGAGGGTGTGGGCAGAGTGGATCTCGGGGAGGGTGCAGGGGAGGCTGTGTGCCTGGAGGTTGGGCATGCCAGGGTGGTGGCCCCAGCCTGCTGT